TAAGTAACGCATGTATGAACAATGATTGTATGATGTATTGAACAACATAAAAAAATTGACAGTAAGTTGAACATAAAAATCGATTAAAAATATTATTAATTGCGGCCTCAAAAAAAGATTTCTACCACTTATGTAGAATTAAATTACCTTTCTAACAATATATCAGCCACTGAAAAAAACAGCCTTCCAGGGTGTTCAAAACACGAAAAACAAACACACTTCATTGTGCATCAAATCACAAAAATATTTTTTTTCAATATTCACAATTGCGGCCTCAAAAAAAGATTTCTACCACTTATGTAGAATTAAATTACCTTTCTAACAATATATCAGCCACTGAAAAAAACAGCCTTCCAGGGTGTTCAAAACACGAAAAACAAACACACTTCATTGTGCATCAAATCACAAAAATATTTTTTTTCAATATTCATAATTGCGGCCTCAAAAAAAGATTTCTACCACTTATGTAGAATTAAATTACCTTTCTAACAATATATCAGCCACTGAAAAAAACAGCCTTCCAGGGTGTTCAAAACTCGAAAAACTAAAACATTTACATTGTGCATCAAATCACAAAAATATTTTTTTTCACCATTCATAATTGCGGCCTCAAAAAAAGATTTCTACCACTTATGTAGAATTAAATTACCTTTCTAACAATATATCAGCTACTGAAAAAAACAGCCTTCCAGGGTGTTCAAAACACGAAAAACAATCACACTTCATTGTGCATCAAATCACAAAAATATTTTTTTTCACCATTCATAATTGCGGCCTCAAAAAAAGATTTCTACCACTTATGTAGAATTAAATTACCTTTCTAACAATATATCAGCCACTGAAAAAAACAGCCTTCCAGGGTGTTCAAAACACGAAAAACAAACACACTTCATTGTGCATCAAATCACAAAAATATTTTTTTTCACCATTCATAATTGCGGCCTCAAAAAACGATTTCTACCACTTATGTAGAATTAAATTACCTTTCTAACAATATATAAGCCACTAAAAAAAACAGCCTTCCAGGGTGTTCAAAACACGAAAAACAATCACACTTCATTGTGCATCAAATCACAAAAATATTTTTTTTCAATATTCATAATTGCGGCCTCAAAAAAAGATTTCTACCACTTATGTAGAATTAAATTACCTTTCTTACAATATATCAGCCACTGAAAAAAACAGCCTTCCAGGGTGTTCAAAACACGAAAAACAAACACACTTCATTGTGCATAAAATCACAAAAATATTTTTTTTCAATATTCATAATTGCGGCCTCAAAAAAAGATTTCTACCACTTATGTAGAATTAAATTACCTTTCTAACAATATATAAGCCACTAAAAAAAACAGCCTTCCAGGGTGTTCAAAACTCGAAAAACTAAAACATTTACATTGTGCATCAAATCACAAAAATATTTTTTTTCACCATTCATAATTGCGGCCTCAAAAAAAGATTTCTACCACTTATGTAGAATTAAATTACCTTTCTTACAATATATCAGCCACTGAAAAAAACAGCCTTCCAGGGTGTTCAAAACTCGAAAAACTAAAACATTTACATTGTGCGTCGTATCCCAGCGACTGAAACAGAAAGATGTCGCTGGTCAAAATTTTCACTTGGTACGTATTGTTCAACAGCTGGAGTTAAGCCGACCGCGATGTCGTAATTTGCGAGGCAACCAGCAACTGCAAAGAGATTGCCAGCTAGCCCTCCAAAATAGAAATTAAAATTTGCACGTTCATGTATAAGTCTCAATCTAAATTATTTCCTAAGTATTTATCAGATATATTAATTGAACCTAAACGCCCCGGTTTACGATCGTCTTCTCGCTTTTTCTTAACTCGTGTTAAACACTCTTTTGCCAAATCTGCTTTTGCTTTTTCTGGTCCTTTTCTCTGGAACTCTCTACCTACTTCTCTTACTACTTCTCCATCACTTACGAAGTTCAGAGCGGATCTCAAGACCCATCTGTTTTCAAAATTCATTGAGGAGAGCTGTTGAACATCGCGGAAATAGCGCTTTATAAGCTAATTGATTGATTGATTGATTGATTGATTGATTGATTGATATTAATTAAGATTACTGCGTATACGGCACTGTTCAACTTGTAGTTGATTAAACCCAAAATTTCTATCAAGGACATGGACTTAATGTGTCGTCACTGATGGAAGAGACGATGAACATAGAGAAAAAAAGACAACTACAAGTTGAATTATGCCGAAAACGCAGTGATCTTTATAATTAACGTTAACGTTATTAATAATTTTTAGTCAAAAATGTCAAATATTAAAAGTTTTTTTGAAAATTAATACAAATTTGAGCAAATGTTTTATAGTTAAAATTGAATTATTAATAGAAACCACAAAATAAAGATATTAAAGACCTGCCAAATTCGCAACTGCATGAGGTAGAGGTTCCGCCATGTACCATCGGTTTTCACTTGGTACGTATTGTTCAACAGCTGGAGTTAAGCCGACCGCGATGTCGTAATTTGCGAGGCAACCAGCAACTGCAAAGAGATTGCCAGCTAGCCCTCCAAAATAGAAATCAACCTTCGTTTGATGCATGCTGCAACACTGAATATTTATTAAATAATGAAATATTTACTATTAAATTAAATTTGGTCGGATGGGATGATTCTTTTTATGCGAATATTAAATATTAAATTAAAGTATATATATATATATATATATATATATATATGTTGGTAATAGACCATAATTTTTACAATATTCTATAAATTCTACCGAATGTTTGGCGTTAATATGTTTGTAGTTCGTTTTTT